AGACGCAGTCCTTTCCTGACCTCAGTCTGCCCAAACTCCTTTTGGAAAACATGTTCGGGTCCCAGGTGGCCAGATTTCCGCACCCCACCACCTCCTGTCCAACAACGCTGGCCCAGGTGTTTTCCGCTCGCCCGGGAAGATATTACCTTTCTTCGGGCAGAGTGGTGGAGCAGACATCCAATAACCTGAGCGAGGAAAGCTCTAAATGGGGAAAAGGGGAGCACAGGTCAAGTTGGTGATCTGATCAAGTGCTCCCAATCTAACCCCTCTCTCCGTGGTAGCAGCCATGTCCTTAGCAACTTAGTGTGGGAGTTATATACAGCCTTCAGGAGGGACAGCGCGGTGGAGAGGACACCCACTTTGCTTTTTCCTACCTCATTGTGGCCCTGCGTGGTTGTGGTTAGGCACATGGTGACTGCCTAGAGACAGCTCTGTCTGCCTCCAGATGCGTCCTCTCGTGGCCTCCTCGTGCTTTACTGGCTGGACTGGAGCGCCAGGGAGAAAGGAGGGAAGCAGCTAGAAGCAGGCACCACTCTGGAGAAGGACTCTGTTAACACTGGGGTTGTGGGGCAGGAGAGGCTTGGGACATAGAAAGCAGGAGACAATAGGGTGCAGGATGGAGCGCATTCAACTCCAAAAACTGCAGGGTGGCTGTAGGTGAGCCGGCAGAACACACTACGAAGCCACTTTCTGGACCCTCTGGGGCCTTTTCTGAGGGTGCCCAGGAACCTATAGCAGAGGATTCTACAGGCTGCTGAGCGATGGTCCGGCAATAAAGCTGACCCCATGATACTGAGAGTTGGGAATGGACCTGTCCTGTGCCGCTCGGAGCAGCGTGGTGGGGGCAAGACAAGCGCTGGGGTAGGAGAAACCACCCACAGTTAGCGCGGCAGGGATGGACAGAACAGACCTCAGCGCTGGTGCTCCTCGCTCAGAGGACCTGGCTGAAACGCAGAGTTGAGCGGCTTCGAAGACGGCAAATTTAGAAAGCTGGACCAGTTTTCTTCCCTTCTCTGAAACTGATTAAAGTAAACCTCAACGGAAATGAAAAAAAAAAATTAGTGTGTTGTTGTTGCCCCAGAGGCGTTAAATCAGGACCTCAAACTTGGAACTGGGAGACAAGAGGCGCACCTCGGTAGCGCTCGTGGACCTCTTGTAGACGCGGATTTGTTCACTGCGCCATCTGGACACTGCGGAAAACAGAGCCGGGTGCCCTACAGCCAGCATCCTGTCCCAGGCCCCAACTCCCCTACCTCGCAGGCCCACCGACGGGCAAGCCCCCCCCCCCAGTATCTAAATCCGGAGGTCGCTGTGGCCCCCGCAACCTCCTGCAGCCCACAGGAGGGAGGCGGTGGACCTTGGGTTGGAGAAGACCCGGCAGCTTGGTCCAGCTGTCGCCCAGTAGGGCCTCTCGACGGATGCCCCCCCCCCCCCTCCCGTAGCCCCTCTGCTTTGCATGAGAAGGAGCCCAGCTGGAGCGGGGGCGGGGGACGAGCCACCCGGGACTGGGGCCGCCATAGATTCCAGAAAGAAGCAGTTGGGTCGAGGGCACTGGCTGCGAGGCTGCGATCACCGGAACAGCTGGGGGAGGGAGGAGCGAGGGGACCGCTCAGCTGCACCGGCTCCTCCCCACGGCCTCAGCCTGCGCAGCTGTCTGGAGGTGCCTCCGGTCCTAGTTGAGGAAGTGAAGACCCGGCGCCTAGCACGTCTTAGCGCCCTCCGGGGTGCCAGAATCCCGGGCGCGCATCGCCTGGCTTTAGGAAGTGGCGAGTCCGCAGGGTAGCGCGAAGCCAAGTTCGAGCTCGCAGAGCCCTCCAGATGAGTCAGAAAACCGTCTTTTCCCTTCCCTGCCAGGACTTTAGCCCCGGCCTTGGAAAGACCGACGCCGCGGATGGATGCGCACGAGCTCTTCCACCTCCCACACTGTCCTGGCGAGTAGTTTGGAGCCCCAGCCAGAAATGTGTGTCTGGGTGCGGGTGGGCGTGGGGTAAGTAGAAAGCCTTAGGGGCCTGGCCCCGGGAGGTCAGAGCTGGGCGGAGAGCCAAAGAGGCGCTCGACGAAGCCTGTGCGGCTAAGGCTTTCAGTGAAAAACTGAGGCCGGCTGCAAGCAGGATCTCCCCCAGGGGATTGTGGGGCTGCGGGTTGCTGCGGACAGCAGCGGGAAGGAAGCGGTGAGAGCTTCCAAACCTAAACGAGCCAGATTGGCTGCAGCGGCTTCTTGGTTCGTCCAAAGAGGGTACTGCGTTTTCCGAGCGGAATTCCCGTCCATCCCAAGTTCATTGCAAAACTGCGTTTTTGCACGCGTTTCCCTTCTAATTTAGCTGCAGGTCAATATGGGGTAGCGAAAGGGGTCAAAAGGCTTATCCCAAAATGCCAGCTAGATTTACTGGCCACCGCCCTTATTTCCTTCCATACTAAGGCCAGATACGTCTACCCAACTCTCCTCCTCAAAAACAAAATTAAGGAGCAAAAAAGCGAGACCGCCGCTAGCACTACCACCTTCAGACTCCACTTCAGGGGAAAGTAGGGTTAAGCCTAGAAAATTGTGGCCGAAACTGAATTTAGGTTTTGACTTGAGTGCGCCAGGGAAATGGAGTGATGAATGTTTAGAACTAACGTTCTCAGAACCCAAGCCCGACCCCAGGGAAATCTGGCCCTGTGGGTGGTCGACCCAAGGTTGTGCCCAGAGTGGATTTAGGAAGTCTTAAGGAGTGGACTAGGCAAGGCGTGGGTCAGCCACTGTCTTGCCAAGCTGGGGGGGGGGGCGGAGAATGGTTAGCCGCGCACTGACCGACCGCCGGGTGGGGAACAGCCCAACCTACCGATCTACTGCACCCCTCGTGGCTTCCTTGGGGTCCCCCTCCTCTTCCCCTTTTCGCCACAATGCCCACATCTCCAACCCCTGCCGAGCGCGCTGGAGCCCCGCGGTTTCGCGCTAGGTCGTTTGTGTTTACGAAAGGTGTCTCCGGGTCAGGATTTTCTCACAACTTCTCTCCGGGGTGGCAACTCCTCACCCGAAGCTCTTCCCCACCCACTCCTTCCCGCCTGCCAGCCCCCGCGCCTCCGGTCTTCCCCGCCTCCACCAGGGAGCCTCCTGAATCAACTTTCCAAGGGCGCGCCGCGGGAGGCAGACACCAGAGACCCGGACCTAGTGGACTTTGGACGGGCGGGTGGGGAGGGGGAGGGAGGGCGCACCGAAGGGGGAACGAGAGGAGGGAAGATTCTGCTGCCAAGCGCCCCCTACCAATCTAGACACGCGCTGTGCCAAGGGCAAACTTCTCGGCGCAGAAAGTACAGAGGCAAGGGGCACCGCGGAGAAATGCCAGCACTCGCTGACTTGCAAATCCAAACGATGCTACGGGACCGCTCTGCGCGCCTCAACCTTGGAGGAAACTCGGTCTTGGTTGACCCTCCCACCCTTCCACAGAACTCTGTCCTTCGCTCTGACCTATTCCCGCCCTCTCTCGGTCCCTCCCACCGAGATCGCCGCCTTACCGAAACAGGAGGGGGCCCAGGCACCTCGCCGCCCGCCGCCTGCCGCCTGCGCCGCGCGCGGCCGCGGGTGCTGCCGCCACTGATGCTCTAAACGCGGTCTCCCCGCACTCTCCCCGGCCGGGGGATGCAGGATGGTTTACAGAGGGACCGCGAGGCGCTGATTGGTCGCCGCCCGCCGTGACGTCGGCGGGCGCTGCATTAAGGCGAGGGGGCTTCCAGAGCTCTGCCAACAGCCAGGAGCAGTGACCGAGTCGCCGGAGCTGGGGAGAGACGCGCCGGGCCAGCGGACGGGGCCAGGAGACCAGGGAGCGAAGGGACGCGCGCCCTGGGAGAGCCAGCGACGAGCCGTGGCGCGGGCGGCGACAGCGGCGCGGACTGCCGGCCTGTTTCAGCCGCCTGTTTACTGTGGCCGCTGCACCGGGACATTTTAAAAACGCTCTCCAAGCTGTCCCCCTCCCCCCCACTCCTCTCGCAGCAAAAGAGGAAAAACAAAAAGGAAGGAGGAGTCTAGGAAGGAAACTCAGATTTGCCATTACAACGAAAAGAGAGGGGGGAAAAGGAAAAAAAAAAGTCGAGCGACCGTGGGTTTGGACGCAGGCAGGCGGAGCGTGGGCCGAGCGATGCGGGGCTGCGCACCGCAAGTTGCGACTGGAGCCGCGGGACACAGCCAGGCGCGGTGAGAAGCCAGTCCGGGTCTCTTCTGTCCTCCGAAGGAGCCCGGGCGCGGGGAGGGCCGCCCCGAGGACTCGGAGGCCGGGCAGGCCACAGGCCGAAGTGACTGGGCCGGAGCGGCGGAGAGCGTGCCTGGCTGCGTTTGCCCGAAGTTACTCCTCTGCATTTTCGATCGACACATACACAAACACTACTCGAAAAACGAGGGAAAGCCAACTCGTAACAGCAACCAACAAGATCTTCCTCTTCCTCCTCCTCCCTCCCTCCGCGGCCTACCTACCCCCCCGCCCCTCCCCCAGACCCAGCGCGCGTCCGGCTGCTGCACGTTGCCGCCAACAGTTTAGGATCCAAAGCTTTTTTACTCGCTTGATTCTTTTCTTGGCTCCCCCCCTTTTTTTTTCAAAGAGGGAGGAAATCCCGGCAGTGGGCAGCCTGACACGCACACGCCCGCCCGCGTAGCCCGACAAAAGCAGATGCACTTTGACTTGTGACAGCTCTACCTCAAGCCCGGGAGGACTAGGCGGCACGGCGCCCGCCACGCGAGCTCGCAGCGTCTTTCTCTTCTCCGTCTCCGCTTTATTCATTTATCTCCATTCCCGCCGTCGTCATTCTTGGTGACCTTCACTCTTCCGCGGGCTCTGGGCAGAAGAGTAGCTTTCTTTCGTGCCCGAGACTCCTCCTTCTCGCCCCGGGCTGCCCTCCGGAGCTTTGGGACTCCCGTGGCGCACGTCCAGTCGACGCGGCCCTGTTTTGATTTCCTGGTGCGGGTTTTGATTCGCTTGCCGCGAGGGTCTGCTCCTCTTTTCCGAGGGGGTTCTCATCGGTCCTCTTCTGAAGTCATCCCCTCAGCTTTGCCTGCTCCCTCCGTCCCTCTCCTCCCGCCCCCCTTCTCCGGGCCTCACCTAACCAAACCAAAGACCATGGTGCACTGTGCCGGCTGCAAAAGGCCCATTCTGGACCGCTTCCTCTTGAACGTGCTGGACAGGGCCTGGCACGTCAAGTGCGTCCAGTGCTGTGAATGTAAATGCAACCTGACCGAGAAGTGCTTCTCCCGGGAAGGCAAGCTCTACTGCAAGAATGACTTCTTCCGGTGAGTCCTTGCCACCCCGCGCCCCTGTCGCTCCCTCCCCGCGGGCTGTGCCCGGCCGGCTTCGGATCAGAGGTCAGCGTGGCCGCCGCCGCTGCGGTAGAGCTGCCTCGGGAGAGCGCAGCGAGTCCCGCGGGCGCCGCCTCTTCGCCAGCTGGCGCGCTGGGCGCCGGTGACGCGCGGCCCTGCTTGTGTCCTAGAAACTAGGAGGTCCGTCTGGGCTACACGTGCTTGGGAAGAAAGGGCCTGAGCCCTCCACCGGTTCGGAAGCCCCTGCAAGTGTGGAAGAGACCGGGTGTCCCGGCTCTCCAACAACTGCTCCCTCTGGGCCTCCGAGGCTGAGCTTAGAACTGGACCTCACTCCGTGCCACTGCTTGGGCGGTCTCGGAATAGTCTTGGCGGGAACTGCGGCGCCTTTGGCAGGCAGTGTCCCCGCCACCTGCTGAGACAGGGGCAGGGAACAGCTCGGTCTGACAGTCGAACTTGCAGACGCGGGAACCTTCCCGAAACCCGGACCGGCCTCCTAGTGCAGACCTGGGCAAACAGCCCCACTGTAGCCCGGCAGTTCCCCAGCTATTCCCTGCTTCCCTTCTCCTGTCCCGAACATCCCCAGTCGGCGGGGCCGCTTTGGAGCCTTCCCAGGCACCGCGCCTTTGCGGCTATTCACCGCTTGGCCAACAGTTGGAAAAGCCGAGGTTACGCTGGTTGCAGCTGAGAGACCTCCGCCCTCCTTCCCCTCCCTTGTTTGGCTTTTAAGTTGTGTTTTCTTAAGGTCACTATCTTGCTACCACATCCTTACAAACACGCAAGTCAACAGAGAACAACAGGCGCAACTGCGAATTGTTAATTGCATCCGGCGGCTTTGAAACAGTGCGATTTCGCCTGGCTTTAGCTTGTTTTCTCTAGATTTGCGGTGCTGGACAAAAATGGGGAGGGAGCGACGAGCAGGGAGGGATGCGGAGCCACCCCGGCCGCTTGATCTAGAAGCCCAGGCCGCTTTGGGATGCACGGATCGGCTCTACGCGAGCCGTGGTGCGGAGCGCAACACGCGCGGGTCCTAGAGGAAGCGCTAGCTGAGCCTCGAGCCTTCTTCGGCCACACCGGCTTTTCACAGTTGTGGCTGGATCAGAAACGGTTGCCGGTGACAGTGGGCTACACAGGCCTGACATCCGCACAGCGCAGCAGGCGCCTAGAATCCACTCTCCAGGCTCCAGGTTGCGCCAATCTGCCGGCTTCGGGCAGGAACCTGGCAGCAACCCAGCCACAGCCACCGGAGCTCTAGATTTGTTTTCCCACGGTCGGGCTGAACTTCGCCTATCCCCAGCCCATTGTGCCGGTTCTTTGGGGAGACAGAAGACCTGGGAGGGAAAGCCGCTTTTATCGGGGGCCTTGTTTACAGGGCGTTCACATTCCAGTTTGACTTCCCTGAAATGGAAGAGTGCTCCCAACCCTCCGTCTGCGCTCTTTACCCCGGGACTACGCAGGGGCTGGGAGGTAGCTTGGGACTACTCTTCTCTAGCCGGGTGACGCTTCAATCACTTGCCCTGCTGCCTGGTGCGTCCTGCCTCCTGGCCAGCCTGCTTCACCATCGCTTTCCCTCTTTCCTCCTTCCCACATCAGTTCCCACATCACTTCTATTCTCTTTTCCCTTGTTTCTCTGGTGCTCCTCCCTGCCTCTTGCCAACAACCCCTGTACTCGTCCCTTGTAGGTGTTTTGGTACCAAATGCGCGGGCTGCGCGCAGGGCATCTCCCCCAGCGACCTGGTCCGGAGAGCTCGGAGCAAAGTGTTTCACCTGAACTGCTTCACGTGCATGATGTGCAACAAGCAGCTCTCCACCGGCGAGGAGCTCTACATCATTGATGAGAACAAGTTCGTGTGCAAAGAGGATTACCTAAATAACAGCAGTGTCGCCAAAGAGAATAGCCTCCACTCCGGTGAGGCCCTGATTCTTGGCTGTCCCCAGGGGCAGGTGGGGGTCCTGGGGGAGGAGGTCCTGCCAAGGTCCCTGTTCTCAACCTGTCACTTCCTTCTCCTCAGCCACCACGGGCAGTGACCCCAGTTTGTCTCCGGATTCCCAAGACCCATCGCAGGACGATGCCAAGGACTCAGAGAGTGCCAATGTGTCGGACAAGGAAGGAGGAAGCAACGAGAATGATGACCAGAACCTGGGTGCCAAGCGCCGAGGGCCACGTACCACCATCAAAGCCAAACAGCTGGAGACGCTGAAGGCCGCCTTCGCTGCCACCCCCAAGCCCACGCGACACATCCGGGAGCAGCTAGCTCAGGAAACTGGCCTCAACATGCGTGTCATCCAGGTTAGCCCTGTAGGGCCCTCAGAGCACCCTGTCCAGGCTGGGGGAGCCCAGTGTGGAGGAAGGCAGTGAGTCAGGGGCTGGGATTGGGGGCTGGGGCAAACGGGGTATGGCTGCAGAGGCTCCCCGTCTTTGAAATGACTGGGGCTGGAGAGGGAGATGCCTGGAGCTAAGCCTAACTTACCCGGCTTGGGGCACAACCCCATACCAAGTTAGGAAGTCGCGGAGAGGACACTATGGGTATCAGTCTGGCAACTTCAAGAGAAAAGTCTTCAGCTCTGACTCTGTGGGTGTATGGCCCAGTCAGACAAGCCCCAGAGCAAGGATTTCCCCTTCAGAGAAAGCTGTGGGGGGCGGGGTGCCTGGATGGAAGGGAGGGTGGTTCTGCCCAGGGTCTGCCCTGGGGAGCAGAAGCCAAGCCCTTTGGAAGCATCTGGGCCTGGGCTTGGGATATTGCGAGGCGGTGTTGCCACATGGGGTGCTGGTTGGTGCCATTCCGACCCACTGCTCATTGTTGAGTTCCGTGCCTTCTGCGAAAGTGTGAGTGGCTCTGGGGTCGTGGTGACTGCCTGTGGTGGGGTGTTCAGTCTGCGTCTAAGAGCAGGCACTCCTCAGCAGGAGGCCCTGGGGCCTCTGGGAGGCAGCGCACACCTGTGCAGGGGCAATGGGTGTGCCTGTCGCTATGGGTGAGAGGCTATGGAGAAGTCTAGCGGAAACTGTGGCAGTGTGCCCTGTAGTAAACACCGCCGACTGTACCAACTGCTTCACGTCGGACAGGAAGCCTAACCAGGTGTCCTCTACCCCACACCGCGCTCGCATGCACACCCAGGGGCCAGGAGTCGGAAAACTACAGGGCTGGAAAAGCACAGGGCTGGAGGACAGGGACCCATGGGCGTGCGGGGAAGGAAAGGAGGAGCTGCGGCCTCACGGACTGCTTGCTTCAGGTCTGGTTCCAGAACCGGCGCTCCAAGGAGCGGAGGATGAAGCAGCTGAGCGCGCTGGGCGCCCGGCGCCACGCCTTCTTCCGCAGTCCGCGCCGGATGCGGCCGCTCGTGGACCGCCTGGAGCCGGGAGAGCTCATCCCCAACGGCCCGTTCTCCTTCTACGGAGGTGAGTTCGCGGTCGAGCTGCGGGGCGCGGCCGGGCCGGGTCGGGCCAGGTGGGCTTCGCAGGAAGCGGGGTGGCTGCGCAAAAAGCGCTGCACGAGTTCTTGGAGAAGAGGGGCTGCCGAGTAAGGCTTGGAGAGATGGCGAGACCCAGGGGTGAAATCTTGGCCGTGTCCGAGGAAGGGGAGCGCCGAGCCGCAGCCGCTGCCTCCCGGCCCCGCGCGCTGCGGCTTGCTTCCCGCCCTGACGCTCTCCTCCCCGCCGCTCCGCAGATTACCAGAGCGAGTACTACGGTCCCGGGGGCAACTATGACTTCTTCCCGCAAGGCCCCCCGTCCTCGCAGGCTCAGACGCCGGTGGACCTGCCCTTCGTTCCCTCATCCGGCCCTTCTGGAACGCCCCTGGGTGGCTTGGAGCACCCACTGCCAGGCCACCACCCTTCGAGTGAGGCGCAGAGGTTCACCGACATCCTGGCACATCCCCCGGGGGACTCACCCAGCCCAGAACCCAGCCTGCCCGGGCCTCTGCACTCCATGTCAGCTGAGGTCTTTGGGCCCAGCCCGCCCTTCTCCTCGCTGTCTGTCAATGGCGGGGCGAGCTACGGAAACCACCTGTCCCATCCCCCAGAAATGAACGAGGCGGCCGTGTGGTAGCGGGGGTCTCTCACGGTGCACGGAATACGTGGTTGTACAGAAATGAAACTTTTATTTAAGAAAACAGACACGAAGGGGGGAAAAAAACCTGAAAAGCAAGGCCGCTCCCTCCACGCTCCCTCCAGCCTCGGGGATGTGCTCAAAGTTTAGGGAGACTGGCTGGAAAGCAAAGGGGAAACACCGAGCAGGATCCAAATCTGCCTCGAGGTGGAACTGGGATCGGAGCACTGGTTGGCAAGGTGCAGGACTGGGGCTCCAGAAGGGGAACGCAGACTGTCCCCACCTGCGACCTGGACAGGGGCTCCCGGATCCCCAGAAACACTGAGCGCGCAAAGACGCGCCCAGCAGCCACAGGCCCGTGCGCCCTGTCCCTCCAGAGCCGCCGGGAGGGCGGAACCTGGCACGGTCATGGGAGGGCAGTGAGGCAGTTAGCTGACTAGTGTTGTGCCCAATTCAGCGACAGCGGCCACAAACTCTTGTAGCTTCAGAAACACCGACCTGCTGCGCATCAGGTGGGACTCTTCTCTATATATTTTGTCTCTGGGTTTTTGGTTTTTGTTTTTGCCAAAATTGCAAAATTCTAAATGTTAATCCCTCAGTATCAACTCCTCTACCTTCGCCAAGCTCTGCGCGCGCGAACACACACACACACACACACACACTCACACGGGATAGGACCGGCTCCGGGAACATGACTTGAACTCAGCTGTACAAGAGAAAGTATTCTATCCTCACACACAAAAAGTAAAAAAAAAAAAAAAAAAAAAAAAAGACTATTGAACTAAAACAGTCAACTGTTTACGTATACTGTTAAATTCAGGAGTTCAGTGTTTTACTAATATATCCTGTTTTTGAAACCTCTTGTTCAATAACAAAATGTTTTGAGCAATCAACCAAAATTGTTCCTTTTCTTTTCCTGTAGATGTTCTGACAGATTTACAGGGCTTGGGGCTCACTGTGCTAGTATGTTAAAAAAAAAAAAAAGGTGTTGTTTACACGAGGCGAAGAGAAAACACGATATTCAGACAGTTGCCAAATAGAATAATTATAGCACAAATACTGTAAAGGTGCCTGGCACCAGCAACCTGAGAAAGTGTTTAGAAAAAAAAAAGTGTTACAAGGTTTAAAAAAAAAAAAAAGACATCTTTGCTAATTTTTAGTCCTGTTGAACATTCATGGAATTGTTAATAATGACTTATATAGACCCACACAGGTTTTATTTTTGTGTCTTTAAAATAAAAGTCCAAAAATATTTAAATTTTATGGTCAAATATGCAGTCAGCAGCTGCTACTTTTTCTTTATATATTAAATTTCTCATATGTCTTTTATTGTTCTAATAAACCTAAGCTTGTGTGACCTCCAGTGCATATTAGACCATTCACTGTATGAAAGAAAACATGTTGAATAAATTTGTGAGTTTTTAATAAAAATAGAAAATCTGATGTTTAGATAATTGGTGCTGTGTTCTTTGATGTTTTCCATAACCAGCTCGAAGCCTGGGTAGGGCACAGGACGGGCCCTGCAAAGCCGGGGGACAGAGGCAGGGTTGGGGGACATGTGGTTTGTTTTTTGTTTGTTTTTGTTTTTTTACCTTGGCTGTGTGGTTGAAGCCCTTTGCTAATACCGGCCAGGCTTTACTCCATGGCTTCCTGCTGTTAACTACAGATTTGCATTCCGTGGCTTTAACTGATAGGGTTGAAGAGATGTTCGTGGATATGTTTAATATACAACTTGAAATAGAAATCAAATCCATGGCTCAGAATGAGTGGTCTCGGTCTGTGATGGAGCGTGATCGGAAGCATTCTCGCCCTCTTCTCCCCGCACATGCAAAATCCGCCCGTGAATGTCAGCTGCTTGGAAATACAGTCAGAGTTGGTGCTTTCCAGCTCCAGTTCATTTTCTTTAGATAATCCAGCTTTCTAATTGGGTAGTTTGAAAGATAACCAAAAGCATGGACACCATAGCTGGAAATGAAATACTTTAATCCCTTTCGCAGAACTGACAGGAAACTGTTTTTCCTAGTATTTGCTAACATGTGAAGAGTTGCATAAAAAATAAAATGTTTTGCATGGCACAGGATTCATATTAAGTTTCTCTGCAAGATGAACTCAAATAACTAATGTAGAAATGAAATTTCAACTGGGAGTTGCCAATAGGTTCCGAAAAGTAGTTCAGTCCCTTCCAAGCCTTCATTAGACGTGGAAGGAATTTGAATATTTGATGCACTGTGAAAGATTTGGTGAGTGTGTGAAAGTCAGACACGATCAGTGTGTCAGAATTTTTCATTTCACCTAGATTTCTGTCTGGGTTATTTATGTCCTTATTTGAAAAAAAAAAAAATCAAAGGTTTCCCATTAAATGGTATGTAATTTCCAGTGCTGTTTTCAGATTGTGTTAAAACGCAGCCAAGTTTCTGTTTTCTGCAGTGGTGGCGTTAAGATAAGCAATATTTCACTGCATCCATATAATGGTTTATCTCATGGTGTTGGGGGATGCCTATCAGAGAGAAATCTGGCAGTGTTCTTGCAGAAATAAAGATTTATGAAATGCAAGGGAGACTTTTGAAACTCTTAGCTTGTGAGTGCAGCACACTTCTTCCTCTGCTTTCTTTGCCGTTGCGGGCTGGGCTGATTCTTTCAGCCCTGGTAGCGTATATACATTCAGCCACAGCCAACGGATTCATTAGAGCCGCAGCCCTCTGCCCCTTCAAAGACACTCATTTAGCTGAATGTATGCTCACTGGGAAGCTGCATTTTCCTATCAAGGCTGCTGAATTATTTAGCAGCTTTATTGTGGGATCTGGGTGTTTGATAAGGCGCTTTAGAGTTGGGCGTCCGGGCAGGAGTCGCTTGCTTGCAGTCGGCGACTAGCCAGTGGCGCGGCTTCTCCCTTCGGCGTGGTGCAGTCAGCTCCGAAGGATGCCTGAGCAGGGTAGAAATTGCAAGCCCTAGGGCTTGGTGAAGACCAGGCCTGGAAGTGCCAGGGACCGTTACCCTGCCCGACGCTGTTGCGGGGCTCCAGCTATGCAGTGCGGTGAGGCGCGCGGCACTCTCCCTCCCGGAGCACTTCCGCCGCGGTCTTCTATTGCGTCCTCCTCTCCTTGGGCCGGGTTTGGCCACCTGGCTTCTTACGCAGCCATCTTAACAGCCGCCGCCACCTCTGGGCCTCCTGCCACCTGCCCTCTGGGGCTGGGACAGAGCAGCAGCCTGCTCACTCAGTGTCTCTCCCGGCTGATGGGAGAGTGGGGGGCAAGGCTGGGAAGGAACACAGGGGAAGACACCGGCGTTTGGAGCTGGGCGTTTGAAGGTGTTAGAGGCATCACCTGGATACCATGAACTCTTCAAAGCGCAGGTCAGGTGAACAGACAGATATTGGGGACCCTTGGGGGATAGATCTAATGTCACCCCACCTCTGCCAACCTATTCTTACATATGTCTGCCACTTGGCAGAGGAGAGGTGTGTTCTTTTGCAGGACCCTGCTCACTTTTGTGCTCATCTTTGTGCAGTCAGAGGTGGGAGATTCTTCTAGGAGAGTGGCCACCCCATCTCAAGAACCTAGGATGCATTTAGGGAAGGATCCCCTGAGAGCTTGCAGAGGCCATCCCCGCTCCTTGCTCAGCTGCTCTCAGTTATAGCTCACTCCTGGAATCCTTGCCTCCCCTCCTGGAGCCCTTTTGCAGCTCTGTGTCTGGGGTAGCGTTTCGGAGTGTGTGTGTGTGTGTGTGAGAGAGAGAGAGAAAGTAGGGCATCTTAAGTCCTTATGAAGGCTATCCAAGACAGTAGGAACCAGAACCAAGAAGAGAGAGGTGGGAAGCAGACTTCTAGCTTTTTTTTTTTTTTTCCTGCTGAGTGTCTGCCCTGTCCAGCTTCCAAGCTGCCCAGCAGCGTCCAGATGCTACAGCCTAGAGGTGGGCTGGGCCCTGCCTCACTTTTCTGCCTTTTCCACTTCGTCCTTAGCTTGGAGGCCAGTTTGCTAAGTGTTACTAAGGGTGGACGTGTTTTCCATGTGAGACGCAGACTTTTATGTACTTCAAGCCCTGGCAATGGTCACTTGGTGGAGTCGCTCAGGATTGCACTCTGCTTGAAGACATTGACAAACTAAGGAATCTGCCCCTGCTGAGCCTGGCATTCTTCACCAGGGAGTTTGCCCAAGACAGGAAGCCTCTACTCCTTTGGGTTCCACAGGAGGCAGTGGGGAGCCATGACATTCCAGGGGCCTGGCTGGACTGTACCCAACGGGGGCTCTAACACATCACCCAGTCACTCTCCCAGACTCTTTTGAGGATTCTTTAGTAGGCCTTGTTCGGCAGGAGAAGGAGAACAGCCCTCACACAGTGTCTGTTTCCACGTTTGTCAGCCTCTGCAGGGAATGCTGGATGGGGGGCATGCAAAGCAATTCTTTTTTCACCTTGCCTGTATGCAATGAAATGGACCCTTTGTTGATATTTGTAGTCTACCCTTCAGTGCCTGCATTTGTGCGCCAGTATCAGGCGTCTGAGTGCGCCCCCACCTCTGACCACAAAAGGCAGTCCCAAGGAGGGTGTTCCCTAGAGAAATCCCCGCGCTGCCTGCCTCTCCCTACTCAGGCAAGGCAACTTGCAGAAGCCAGAGACCTTTATATTCATGCACAGCCCTAGTGAGCCCCAATTACTCCCATGAATAAAGACCCCAACAGTTTGCTTCACACTTACACATCCCTAACAGGAAGTCTCCAAATCCAGGACGCTGTGGGCACAGGAGAGTCTTTCCCAAGACCCCTCTTAATTGTCAAAAATCCAAGTCTGTTTAGGGGGCCCAGCCTGTGTGTAGCTGCCCAACTGGGAACCACAGGTTGGAGAAGCTTATCCTGGCATCCCTTCTTTCCAGTCGGCCCACCCGGCTGCACTGCTCTGTCCCGCCACGTCCGGGGCCGCGCGTACCCTGCTGAGCCTCTGGGGGAGTCACGTGCCCTTGCGCGCTCCCGTGCCGCCCGGCACTGGCTCCCCGGCTCGACGCATGCGCACCCTCCCGCGGCCGGCGGCCCTCCCTACAGCCTCGCGCGCGCTTCCGCCTGGATCCTAGCAACGCTGTAGTGACGCGCCAGGCCCCGCCCCGCTCGCGCGCGCCTCCCGGAAGTAGCCGGTTGGGAGCTTGAGCGCCGTTGGCCGCGCGGTCCCGGGTTGCCTCTCCTGGGCGAGATCGTCGAGCGGTCGGCTGGGGACGGTGACTGCGGGCTCCTTCACTTGCGGACTTCCGACCGAGGCCTGGAGACGATGGCGGGGCCGCCACCGCTGGCGCTGCAGCTGGAACAGTTGTTGAACCCGCGGCCGCGCGAGGCGGACCCTGAGGCCGACCCGGAGGAGGGTAAGGCCTGACGGGGGCAGGCCACGTGCGGAGCCCCGCGGGGCTGGGTCCTGGCCCGCCGGGGCGTGTGTGCGCGTGGCTGGAGTGGGCAGCCCGAGGAGGACGGGCAGCCGTGCCTTGCCGCCGGCTTGCCACTTCCCCCTGAGCCCGGCAGGAGGAGGGCTTCGGCCTCTGGACTTGGTGCTCGTGTGGGTGGGTGGGGGACCGTGCCGAGGACTCGGCGCCTTGGGGGTCAACTTGCGCGAGCGCTGTTGGAGGGTTCTCAGGAGGGTTGGTCGTAGCGGGCAGGAGGTTACGTTTCAGCAAGAATACCCTGGCTGGTATTGCGTTAAAAACGGCCAGAAGTGAGTGTCGGTGATGATTTGTATGTTCGATTCGCTGTGCCCGAGAACTTGCTTGGAGAACATAGTTTAAAAAAAAAAAGTAGCAATCCCTGGTGCTGTTTAAGCCTCTTCGGGTCGTGAGGCTGCTGTTCTGTAAGCTGCCGTTGGAGGTCTAGCTGGCAGTAATCCTGTTTTAAACTCGAGTCAGGGGAGGGTGAGGAAGGGAGAATCAGCAGGGATAAATCCAAGTGCTGAACCGTGACTTAGGCATTGCAGTGGCAGGCATTGGGGACTGTTTAGCTTGGCTCAGAGCAGGGGACTCCCTTGAGGATGGGAGGAGTCCTGGCGTGGTGGGAGGGCACTGATGGAAGGGAGTGGGGCAACCTGCCTGTGCCGCAGGAGTCAGACTAGTTTGGGATGATTGGGAGCTTAGCAGGAGATGTGCTGGGAGACACAGGGAGTCGGCTGTCCCTTCTTGAACAGCAGTAGAACCGGTGGCCCAGCTCCCTTGAGAGGTAACAAGTTTCCCTGTTCTGGAAGTTGGGGTCTCTTGGAGAGAACATCCAGGCAGATGAAAGGATTGAAAGGGGTTCAAATGAAAGTTCCTCCTAACCTGGGGAATTTAATGACTTTTCCGCCTCCCCCCCACCCCCAGATACTGCTGCCAGAGTGATTGACAGGTTTGAGGAAGGGGAAGACGGAGCAGGTGATTTCCTGGCAGTGGGCAGCATTAGGAAATTGGCATCCGCCTCCCTCTGGGACACGGACAGAAGGTATTCTGGCAGAACCACCTCAAGAAAAGCGTGGAAGGAAGACCCTTGGGAGAGGACACTGCCAGTTTCATCTGGTGAGTAGACACGAGGGCATGGAATGTCTTCTTCCTGACTGTCTCAGGGCTAAGGGCCTTTTGATTTTCCTCTTCTGGGTGATGCCTGCAGGACCCGCCTGTGTGCTCCCACCTGTGGCCCTAGGACAGGCTGCTGATTTGTATTAGGAGGAACCTTCCAGGTTGCTGCATTGCATGTCATGACAAGAGTCATTCCTTTACTGCACTCCTTAGGTGCAGACTAATGGGTCTCCCTGCAACAGAGTGAAGAGCAGGCAGTGCGTAGAGGCTGGTGAAGAGGGCCGTGTGTGGGACTGGCATTGTGCCTGACGGACATGCTCCTCTCTGCTTTTGGCCGTTTTCCTTTGGTTTGTCAGGGGCTGTATTCATGGATTGATGCTGTAAAGGACAGCATCATCCTCCCTGCTCCCCTCCAAGGGAGTTAGGATGCTGTGTGCGTCTAGTTGCGAGGAGAGGTGAATTTCGGAGCTGCAGAAGGGCCTGAATATGGCCATTACCTGAGGATGCCATTTGTTTCCCTTTAGGGAGGTCAGGGGTGCTGGGTTGAGACTCTACAGATAATACGGAAGGGACCATCATTCAGGTTGTATCTGTGACATAGTCCTTGATGTAGTTCAGGCTGCTACTGATAAGCTCGTTTCATATTCTACGCCTAGAGACTGATAAAGAGACCAATCATGAGACAAATATGATAATATTCATTGAACTCTCACCATGTGTCAGCCATGGTGGTTAGCGCTTTAAGTTCCAAGACTCTGGGATGCAGTAAGCCCTTAAAAATGTTATCACCATTGTCATCACATGTATCATCTCATTTAATCCTCTCAGTAGCCTAAGAGGTGGATATTATTTATCCCCATTTTAGAGATAAGGAAATTGAGGGCAGATTGTTTAGGTAACTTACCGAAGGTCAGAGAGTTAGTGAGTGGAGGAGCTAGAATTCATGTGAGAGCAGTCTGACTTCAAGATCTACACTGTACACTTCTATATGAATGTTTCTTAGTTAACTGATTTGCTCTTAGTTTTTGTGTTTAGATTGTTGACAGCCTAATTTTTGTCTTACGTTTATACATACCGTAAGTACAAAAATCTTTTTTAAAAAGTTTACATACACTACTTTTTTAGAAGGTATTTTTCAGGCTGGCATAGAGGCTCCGTGGTTTAAGCCAGTGCATACGGGGCCAGCATCCCAGAGGAGTGCTGCTTTGAGTCCTGCTGCTCCACTTGCGGCCCAGCTCCCTGGTGATGCACCTGGGAGCATAGCGGGAGGTGGCCAAGGATTTGCCTCTACACTTACTCAGATCCTGAAGCTCCAGGCTGCTTCGGCTTGATCCTGCCCCAGCCATTGTGGCTGTCCGTGGAGGGGTCTCTGTAACTGCATCTCAAGTAAATAAGTGAATCTTAAATATACATGCTTATATACACACACACATATATAATAAATATATTTATATTTGAGAATCGGGGAGAGTGTTCTCATGTGCTTCTTCATTCTTCAAATGTCTGCATCCCGGGGCTAGGCGGGGCTTGAGCTTACCCTGGGAACCAGGAACTCAAGCCAGGTTTCCCAAGTAGGTGTTAAGAATCCAATTTCTTTCTCTCTCTCTTTATTTTTTTAAGATTTTTTTTGGGAGCCTGGTGCCATGGACTAGCAGCTAAAGTCCTTGCCTTGAACACGCCGGGATCTCATATGGGTGCTGGTTCTAATCCCAGCTGCTCCATTTCCCTTGCAGCTTCCTGCTTGTGGCCTGGGAAAGCAGTAGCGGACGGCCCAAAGCCTTGGGACCCTGCACCCACATGGGAGATCCGAAAGAGCTCCTGGCTCTGGGCTTCGGATCAGCACAGCACCGACCGTTGTGATCATTTGGGGAGTGAACCAGCGGACGGAAGATCTTTCTCTCTGTCTCTCCTTCCTTCTGTGACTTTGCAATAAAATAAATCGTAAAAAAAGATGGCCACAACGGCTGGAGCTGAGCCTATCCAGAGCTAGGAGCCTGGAGCTTTTTCTGGGTTTCCTTTGTAGGGGCAGGGTCCCAAGGCTTTGGGCCATCCTTGACTGCTTTCCCAGGCCACAGGCAGGGAGCTGGATGGAAAGTGGAACCCAATTTCTTAAGCCATCGTTGCTGCTTTCAGGCTCTGGAAGTTGGAGTTAAGAGTTGAAGTTGCTGACGAAGCCCAGGCACTGCAGCCTGGGATGCTGGCGTCATAACCAGTAACGTCACCACTCTGCCAAATGATAGCATCTGTAAAGCTGCAAATACTGAAGACCCATCACATTTTCATGAAATAGCTTGTTTTATTGAAGACAGTTGTCACTGAGTGGTTTCTATCTAATATTTGTGCTTGCTATACGTTGGGCTTTTATTTTCTGGAAGAGATTGGATAATCTGGGGAAAAAAAATCTAAGTATCAGGTGATGCCCTAAGTATAAGTAGGCTTAGCTGGTACTTGAACCAGTGTAGGATCAAGTTCCATTTTGGAAAATAAGATCCTTGTGATTTGATTGCTGAATGACCCATTAGCCCTCTCTTCCCATTTGCTTGTACATTTTGTACTCAAGTGCTGTTTCCTCTTTTTCTCCACTTTGTCTTCTGAGACCTGTTCCTTACGTTTGTTAAGTAAAATTCTAATGTCACTTGCTCCATTCTTCAGCTTTCCAGAAGAGCTGAATGGTTTCTTCTCTGAACTCCTTGTACTAATGATGCTATAATATCATTGTTATTTTATTAGATGGGTATCTATCACTCCCACCAGACTGTCATCTCTTCCCTATAGTATTAAAGTATGTTTGTGCTTCCTCAGCCTTTGTCTATACTTGGCTCCTGGAGCATGCCTTAATAAGTGTTAAATAGGATATAGTGATGTGATCAAGTGTACACATGGGGTAATTAATGGTAAACTGTGTCTTCTATGTCAAAACTGGTAATTCCTGAACATCAGTTGAAATTTTACCATTCTTCATGATCTAGCCTATGTGTTCTTTGCTTGGTTGGAAGCCCTGCTTCAGATCACTTGCCTTATAGTTAAATTATTTTCTCCTCTGGGTATTTTTCCTTCCTTCTTTCCTTTCTTCCTTTCTTCCTTCCTTCCTTTTTTGAGATTTATATTTTTATTGGAAAGGCAGATTTACAGAGAGAAGGAAAGACAGATCTTCGATTTGCTGGTTCACTCCCCAAATGACATCAAAGGCCAGTTGAGCTGAGCTCGCTCAGCTAAGCTGGTCCAAAGGTAGAAGCCAAAGGCTTCTTCCAGGTCTGTCTTGAGGGTTCAGGGTCCCAAGGCTTTGGGCTGTCCTCAACTGCTTTTCCAGGCCACAATCAGGGAACTGGAAGGGAAGTAGGGCAGCCAAGATTTGAAGCAGCACCCATATGGAATTCCAGCACATGCAAGGTGAGGACTTTAGCAACTAGGGTACTGCACCGGGCCCATCAAAACATTTCTATTTCCTTCCTATATTACAGTATTTATTTACTTGAGAAAATACTTGTTTATTTGGGTTACAGAGAGAAGGAAAGACACAGAAGTGTTATGGTTCACTCCCCAAATGGCTGCAGCTGCTGGGGCTGGGTCAGTACCCAGGAGCTCTTCCTTTTTTTTTTTTTTTTAAGATTTATTTATTAATTTAAAAATAAGAGAGAGGGAGGGAAATAGATCTTCTGTCTATTGGTTCATTCCCCTGGTGGTTGCATGGCTACAGTTAAGTCAGGCTGAAGAACCCAGGAGTGTAGGATTCTTCACCTGTGTCTTTCACATAGGTCTCAAATACTTGGTCCCTCATCTGCTGCTTTTCTCAGGTCATTAATAGGGAGCTGGATTGGACGTGGAGCCACTGGATAGGAACCAGTGTCAGCAGTTTGCCACAATGCTAGTCCCTGAGTCAGGAGCTTTATTTGAGCTTCCCACATAGGAGACAGGAACCTAAGCATTTAGGCATCTTTTGTTGCTGTCTCCGGTATATTATCATGGAGGTAGGATCGTAATTGGAGCAGCCAGGATCCAAATCAGTGTCCATATAGGAACCCCGTGCTGTAGTCTGTGAACCTGCTGATCCAGAGTGCTGGCCCCTGCATTACAGTTTTAAGTTTTAATTACGTTGGTCTTACCCAGTAGAATCTTTCATTAGTGCAGGACCGTGTTCTATTCTTTGCCTCCCTCTTACCTTTTAGAGGTATTTGATGGGTCCTATCTATTTGCAGAATATAGTGAGTTGACTATAGTATATGGAGTTGAGTACAGTCATATGTGTTTTCCCCCTTAATAGATGCTGTGATTCTTCAGTTGAAAAGAAAGCTATGGTTTAGTGTTTTTCTCTGAGGAGCAGCTATGTTTTCTTCCTTCCCTTCTTGTCCAGACAAGGAACTATCTGATGAGGAAGGATCTGGAGGTGAAGACTCCGAGGGTTCTGATGAAGACGGGAGTGCTGCCAGTGAAGAGGAGGAGGAGGAAGAGGACACTTTGGCTGGGAGGAGGAAGGGCAGGAGCCACAGTGCCAACACGGCTGGCTTCCACGTCCAGAGCATCAGTGACTTCGAGAGCTTCACCGAGGGAATGGATGACCTTGGGAGCAGTGAGGAGGAGGAACATGAAGATGAAGAGAGCGGCATGGAGGAAGGGGAGGAGGAGGAAGACTTGGAGCATGAGAGTGAGGAAGACGCGGCTGGAGACAGGAACAGTGAGGATGATGGCGTGGTGATGACCTTCTCCGGAGGCAAAGTTTCCGAGGAAGTGGAGAAGGGACGAGCTGTGAAGAACCAGATAGGTTTGTCTGTGGTTTTACTGCTTGTTTATTTATTTATTTTTTGAAGTATCTACTTTTTGTTTATTTAGCTGTTTGTTTTTTGGCTGCGCTATGTTTCTGTGTGCTTCCAATTAGTTTGTGACATGCTCCACTTGTCCAAAGGGCTAAAGCCCACCTCCATGCTTAGCCAGCCGCTGCCGGGCTGAGCTGCTTAGCTGGTTCTGCTCTGGTACTTCCCAGCGGCTGTGGAAGATTGAAGAGTGTTTTCTCCACTCCTTGGGCTTTAACATTCCCTCTCTCATAGCAAATATTTGCTTCCAAGATACAAAATTTATTTCTTATAATGGAGAGTGTTTCTGTGGTGTGAAACTGATAACGCAGTGCTGCCTAGAGATGGGCATGGTTTCTTGCGTCTCCCTTGCGTCCCGGGAGGATTTGACAACTGAGTGATGGCATCCTCTCTTCTTCTTTGTAGCCCTGTGGGATCAGCTCTTGGAAGGAAGGATCAAACTGCAGAAAGCTCTGTTGACCACCAATCAGCTGCCTCAACCAGATATTTTCCCTGCTTTCAAGGACAAAGGTGGTCCAGAATTTGCCAGTGCCCTAAAAAACAGTAAGGCTATCTCTACCATTTTGGGATACTTCTAACCATTGGAATATACTAGGATTGATGGAAAGGAAGAAGAAGAAATGATACTATTTTAGTGATGTTATGGTTATAGCAAGGCAATTTCAATTTAAAAGAAAGATAGCATTATAACCCTTTTATCACATGAAGAAAGCTTTGGCTGAAATGGCTCGCTGTTCCGCTTTCTTCTTTCCAGACCTCATTCCTGCCACACCTTTCCTTAGGCTTTCTGAGGATTTCTTTAGTGCTCAGGGAAGACTGGAAACTAACTGATCTAGAACCAAAGGAAGAGAACAAGTGGTTAAACGCATCATTTGAATTGGTCGTGTTGTGTGCCTTGAAGATCCTGCCTGCCGTTGGGGGTTTTTGATCTCACTCATATCTTCCTTTGGGTGTTGTAGGGAGAGGAGAAAGATGATGACTGTGAAGAGATCCACCCATTTTGTAAGAAAAGTGAACAACTGTTAGAGTCAAAGATTTCTAGGAGAGAGAAGGGATTTAGAGGCTGTTTGTGTTTGGTTCTTAGTCCCCTCATTTCCAGGTGAGGTCCAGAGAGAGCACTTGCCCAAGGTTACAAGCTCACTGATGCACAGCACAGACCTGTCCACCTTTTCTCTCTGTAGCAGTTTGCTAAGCACAGCACTACTGCCTCCTGTGTTCATTCAGTGGGCCTGTGAGCCCAGTGGCATGGGACTGTGGGAGCTGGAGATTTGGGATGAGTGTATAACTGTGGGTAGAATTACTCTATTTGCATGTTGAGACTTTTTGTTTAAGATTTTTATTGGAAATTGTAGGTTTACAAAGAGAAGGAAATACAGAAAGAGATCTTTTCATCTGTTGGCTCACACCCCAAATGGCTGCAACAGCTGGAGCTGAGCCGATCCAAAGCCAGGAGCCAGGAGCCTCTTCTGGATCTCACTAGTGAGTCCAGGGTCCCAAGGATGTGCGCCATCTGCTGCTTTTCTAGGGTGTAAACAGGGAGCTGGATGGGAAGTGAAGCAGCCATGACACTTAAGTGGCACTTGAAGGTGGAGTGTTTAGCCTGTTGGGCCATAGCCCTGGCCCTGAAGCAAGGTGCTTTTACTTGCTCTTTAAGAGTATCATGGAGTTGGTTGGAGGACCCTTGCCCGGACATCTAATGTAGCAAATGCCTCTAGGTAGAGTCTTCTTAAAACCTTTCAACATAAATGGTATATCTTTGGTTATAGAAATCTGTGAATCAATACTGTAAGCAAATACCTGGCTTAATTAGGAATAACTTCCTAGAGACCAATTTTTATTTTTTATTTTTTTAAAAAAATTTATTTATGTATTTGAAAGGCAGAGAGGGAGAAAGATCTTCCATCCGCTGAAACCAGGAGCTGCATCTGGGTTTCCCGCATGGCGGCAGGACCTGTACTTGAGCCGTCTTCTGCCTTCCCAGGCCCATCATTAGGAAGCTGGAGCAGCTGTGAGTCGTGGGAGACCATGCTGCAGCACTGCCTATGACTCCTGTGATGCCAACATCCCATATGGATGGTGGCTTATGTCGTGGCTGCTCCGCTTCTGAACCAGCTCCCTGGGGAACACAGCAGAAAGTGGCCTAAATGCTTGGGCCCCTGTCACCCAGTGGGAGATCTAGATGAGGGCCTTGGGTTGGGCCTGCTTCAGCCCTGGCCATTGTGGCCACTTTGGGAGTGAATCATGGGATGGAAGATCTATCGGTCTCTTCTCTGCAACTCTGCCTTTCAAATGAATAAAATAAAATCATAAAAAAAAAAGTGAGCATCTGGGACTCGGACATTGTGCTGTGAATGCTACGCATCCTGAGCGGTGGCTTAGCCCGCTGTACCACAAAGCCTGTCCTGTAAGTCCGGATCTGGGTCTGTGTCCTTCTGTCTGAAGTCTCTTCCCTTTGTGGAAAGTCTCTGTACTCTTCCTAGAAACCCTGCACAGACTGTGAGGGTTGGTGTTTTATATCCCCCTTTAACACCTTCCTCTCCTTGCTTCCTAAATGGACAGATTCATGGTTTTCAGACTTCCTGAGACTTCTGGAACACTTCTGCTACTTTTATTGCCCTAATACCGTACTTCCTTACAGATCTTTTGATGAAGACTAGACTGTATCATTTATTTTATTTTTGATATTGTTAACATACTTGATTAAAAAAAAGAGGGCCCAACATGGTAGCTTAGTGGCTAAAGTCTTCGCCTTGCATCTGCTGGGATCCTATGTGGGAATTGGTTCGAATCCTGGCTGCTCCACTTCCCATCCAGCTCCCAGCTTGTGGCCTGGGAAAGCAGTGGAGGACGACCCAAAGCCTTGGGACCCTGCACCCAAGAGTGGGAAGAGAGTGGGAAGAAGCTCCTGGTCTCTGGCTTCAGATTGGTACAGCTCCAGCTGTTGCGGCCACCTGGGGAGCGACCACTTGGGAAGGGAATCAGTGGATGGAAGATTTTTTTGTCTGTATCTGCTTTACTCTGCAAATCTGACTTTCTGATTAGGGTGAGGAGAGTCAATATATGCAGGAATGTAGGTGGGGTACATGCTTCCATTTTTTTTTTTTTTCTTTTTTTCCTCTATATGCTAGGGGAGTAGGGGGAGGTGAGAGGGAGGAGGCCACTCCTCACTGTCAAACTACATGAGCACCTGGGGATGAAGGATGATCATTTGATGGCACGTTAGAGACTCTGAGGTGGGAAAGAATGTTCCAAGAGTGTTACTTGAGTGATTTTGGCAGTTCTGAGGCGTTGTCAGCTTCATTACACCAAGGTTGAGAAGATCTTTTCAAGGTCTGTTAGCTTAGGGTATTCACAGCCCCAGACACTTGTTGCAAAGCTTGCCTGGGGGTATTTTCCAACTTGCTCTGTTTTCTGCCTTCTTCTTCTTCTTTTCTGTCTTCTTCTTATTTTTTAAGCTCATTTATTTTTATTGGACAGGCAGATTTACAGAGAGAAGGAGAGACAGAGAAAGATCTGCCGTCTGCTGGTTCACTCACCAAGTGGCTGCAATGGCTAGAGCTGTGCCAGTCCAAAGCCAGGAGCCAGGAGCTTTTTCTAGGTCTCCCACACAGGTACAGGGTCCCAAGGCTTTGGGCCGTCCTCCACTGTTTTCCCAGGCCATAAGCAGGGAGCTGGAAGGGAAGTGGAGCAGCTGGTGCCCATATGAGATGCTGGCACTTGCAGTTGGAAGATTAAGTAATTGGGCCATTGCGCCGGCCCCTACTTTGTATCTTCTCATGGGGCAGTTGATTTCCTCTGGTGTCCTAGATGAGCTGGCTGCCATGTGCCCCACGTGCATCTGGGCATTCTGTGCACTGCACAGGCATCAGCACCTGATAAGGCCCAGAGTCGATATATGCCCTGCACGGTCAGACCTCATATGTTGTGATTTTTCTTGTGGCTGGAATTTGAGTCCACTGATGTAGGTGGGGATTCCCCCAGAAATCTTGCTTGATGTGATCTCAGACTTGACTGTAGTGCACTAGCCAGTGCAGGGTGAGATTTAGTCTGTCACTTGCAGCTGCCAAATACATACCAATAGATGCAGCTGCTGGTCAGTTCCAGCCTAGCTCCATCCCTCGCGCTAACCAGTGGGTGTTGTGTCCTAGTCCAGTTCACAACACAGGCCCAATCTGCATGCACACGTGTGGGTACAGCGGTCAGGGCAACTCCCAATAACCCCCAACAGGCCTGACCACAGCCCCAGCTTTTGAGCGTGTTGTGGCCTAGCCTGGCCAGCATCCCATCTGCCTCTTTTGCACACAAATGTGTGTTGGGGCTTAGCTCAGCCCAACCTGCTCCTGATTCTGTCCCACACGTATGTCGCTAGGTGCCATCGCCAGCCCTGGTTCTTGTGCTTACCAGTGAGAGCTGTAGCCTAGTAGGAGAGTGCCCAGAGTTCCCCTGCCGAGCCCGTTCCCAACCCTGGATCTTGTGTTTGACAGGGAGTACTGCAGACTGGCTTGACATATGTCTGGTTCCTGGCACTTGCCAATGGGTGCTGCAGCCTAGCCCATCTTGGGCCACCCCCAGACCCACCCCTCATGCAGGTTGACAGGTTCTGCAGCCTCCTAGAGTGGCCTGCTCTCAGTTGCAGTTCTCATGCTCACCTGTGAAAACAGCAGCCTAGCAGGGGAGTTCCTGACGTTCCCCTGCCAGGTACACCCAGTCTGACATGGCTTATCCCCAGTCTGGTCATTCATAGGCAGGTGCTGTAGCCAGGCTCAGCCTGGCCTCCCTCAGGGCCACATCCAGCCCTGCCATGATGTCAACTGGTAGATGTTTTTGACCCAGCCCCTCCTAGTCTGCACCCGGTCCAGGCTTTTGTTTGTCCTGGTGCGTGCTGCCGTCCTATTGGCATGGTCTGTGCTCAGTCTGCGTCTTTGCCTGTGCCTGTGGATACTGCTGCCTGGCCCAGCCTAACCTCATCCCAGTCCCAGGCTCTGCAAGTCATGGTTAGTTCCATGATCCAGCCTGTCTTGGTCCATCACCACCCCCAGCTTTCGTATGAATGGGTGGGTGTTGCAGTCCCACAAAGACAAGCCCACCCAGTCCCCTACAAAATCTGCCCCCAGATCTGTTTCTCTTGCTTTCTGATGTCTGCTGTAACCTGGTCTGACATGGTCCACCCTTTGCCCTGACAGTTGCTGCTGAGTACTGTAGTCTAACTGAACCAAACATGCCTCCCAGCCCCAGCTTTCTGTGTGATGTGGGCAGTAGGCAAGTTTCTTAAGCTCAGCTCTTATCGCCCACATAGGTGCCTTGGTTATGACCCAGACATGCCTTCTGGTTTCTCCGCTTTAATCCACCCTATCTCAGTTCCCTCAACTACCTAGGAGTGCAGTTGGTGGGTTCATAGAAGGCCCCACAAATCACTCCTCACCTGTCAAACATGCCTTTGATTGCCCCTGCTCTAGCACATCTCCAGTCCCCCTTCTCCGGGCAGCCTGCAGCCTTCCCACTGTGCAGCAGTGTGCCTGGGTGCCAGGTGTGTGTCCTGGCCT